ATTCTACCATTATATTAGTATTCTCATTTGTAATATCATCACAGAGTATGTTATAAACTCTGTAATGATCATTGAATATTTGGTACTTTCCAGTTCTTATTTTTTACATGCATGTTAGTAGGTGAGACTATTTAAAGCCTCAATAGGATTAGTAAGGTAAGGTTTAGCCCGGTTTGAGTTGCCTTGATCCTATGTCTTTGGAAAAATATTCACACGGCTATGAGATTATATGCCCTCGTGAGACTTTGCCGGCAGCTACACCATGAATCCTCTACATGAGGCTGCCATCATAAGGCAATGTGAGGCGCAGAGGAGTGATTATATAGCCAAGGCATATGGTTAACAATACCGGTGCTATTATCCCCCTTATTTGTACTTTTCTGAATTGTTGTATTTTTTTTCTTTTTCTTTTATTAATAAAAAAATAGCCATAGGCGCTTGCCTAGCTAATTGTCAAAAAAAAAATCTACTCCCTCTTCCTCTCCATTATCTTCAGTTGTACCAAACTCATCCACTTTGTCAACGCCTCATAGTGCCATCTCTTTACCGTTGACCAATCCTTTCTCTGAAATTCAATCTTCCGCTGCTTCTCCTCCAATACAATCATCCTACACAAATCGTTCTCCTCCTGCTACTATTATGGGACCTTCATCTTTCTCGCCCAATATTTTTCCAAGCTATTCTTCTGCAGGTAATACTACACCATTCTCGACAGGAGGTTTACCTGCTTTCACAAATATGACTAGATCACAGTCTTATCTTCAACCATTTAACTCCGTTTCTCCAACTTTTTCTGTACCTGTTCCCATTAATCCTATCACCCCAACTATAATCCCCTCGACTATCCAAAATAACCCAACAGAGCTTAATTCCATCCCATTTCCAGCCTCTCTGACCACACCTATTAAACTTACCTCCTCCAATTATCAGACATGGTACTCTCAATGGCGTTCAGTACTCATTGGTTTTGGTCTTTCACATCATGTTACTGATCAACACACTGTATATCATATGCACAATGAACGTTGGTATCGTCAAGATCAGTTGCTTTGAAGTGCGCTTCTTGCTACTCTTTCCATTGAAGTTGTCTCTTTGGTCAACTCTGCCGAAACTTCTTATGATGTTTGGAGTACTCTATATACGATGTATGCGAAACCATCGCGTGCTCGGATTCTCAGTCTCAAGGAATCACTTACACGTGCTACTAAGGGCACTCAAAGCATGTCTGCTTATCTTCAGCATATCAAGCAACTTGTGACTACTCTTAACTCTACTGGAGCTGCTATCACTATTGATGATCTCACTCTTTATGTTCTTAATGGCTTACCACCTGAATACAAAGGTATTTCTGATTCTATACGGACTCGAGACACTGCACTTCATTTTGATGAACTTTATGAAAAGTTGTGTGACTATGAGCAGCTACTCCAGCGAGATCACAACCCTCTTGCTTCCCTCTTGACTGCCAATTTTGCCGCCAAGACCACATCTTCCAACACTCGGAACAATCGGTCTAATATTGGCTCTAACAAAGGCACTACTCAGCAAGCCAATCATCGCTTCAATGGCAAACAAGGAAATCGACCAGTTTGTCAATATTGCGACTGTTGAAATTGGCAAAATGTTTGTCCCACATCGGTGGGAAAACAAAAGTTGGGGGGATTT